TTTGGAAGAATGGTCTTCATTGGTTCAATGGTCATGGTGTAGGATCACTGGTAGAGATTGTGGACGAGAGCCAGTGTGTACTAGTAATGATGTCCTGTGAGAAAGGTTACAGTGACAATATGGTGTCTGAAATAAGAGATGTAATAGGAGAAGTAATGAGTGTTTATAAAGAATCCTGTCCCAGTCTAGAGGTAAAAGAGTTAGTTATTGATCCTAAAGAACTAGCCTATCCTGTAAATACACCAAGAGAAAGGACAGTGTATAGTGTAAAAGATGTACTATCTTGTATTACATGTATCAAGAAAAAAGATTTTGTCGTAAGCACTACTGGTATTAAACAGGCACAATTAAAAGAGATCCTAGCTGATGAATCATTATCAGATATTAGTAACCTGTCACTATTAGGAGGACGTGATATTAAGGTAAGAATTAACACACACAAACTGTTTGATACATTGGGTTGATATTGTGGGACCTACTATTTATTACTACCATAGAAATTGATTGAAATACCTGATGAGTCCATAGCCAGTGGCACAGCAGCACCTATAATAAAGCTAGGTATAGTATGTACTAATATAGTGTACTATATAGACACAATCATTTTTTATAGATCTTGACATTATCATTGAAGAGCTATTATCAACCAATCACATTGATTATACTAACTGGTATCGGTTTGGTCTTCATTTAGGATTATATTCTCAAACTCTAAGTGCTATTAAGAAGGATCATGGAGAATGCAAGCCATGTCTGATACAGTGTATGTCTGCCTGGTTAAGAGGAGAAGATAAAGTGAGAGAGAAAGGAGGTCCCAGTTGGTTATCATTAGCTACAGCACTGGATACAATAAAAGAGAAATCTATTGCTAGTTATATTAGAAATAAATATTGTAAATAATTAGTTAGTGGATGATTGTCTATAGTATTTCATTTTGTTCTGTTCATTATCATTTTTACTGATACTTGCAGATTCATTTAATTGACTGCATGAACTATATTATATAAAAGCTGAGCTGTCATCATGTACTAATTTCCCTATCTCTATAATTAGAATTATCACTGATAGTATCAAACTATGTTTATTATTAGTAACATTGTTATTTGAATAGTTACTGTTAGTTTCAAACTATGTTTATTATTAATGTTGTTATTGGTATAGAGTTACTATGACTAGAACTATGATACTTACACTAATTGATATAGATAAGGTTGGCTATGTGAGGCTAGATAAGGATGTACTCAGATACACTGTACAATTCTGTACATGCAATAGATTGTCAACTGAACTTTGATCAAAATTAGAGAACATGCATATGCATCAGAAAAAATTATAAAAATGGAGAATATTTTCCTTTTCGTTTTTGGCAAAATTTGGCCAAAAACCATGTACTAGTACAGTAACATTGGTTCAATTTTGGAGCAACTTTAAAAATTTGTGTAATTTTAAAAGATTTTTAAATTAAAAATAAATTATAAGTGACAATAATGCTGTGTTAAAAGAAAATGACAGTTAAATATTAATAAATAATGTTATAATAGTCTTTCCCTATCAGTACGCTGGCCAACTGTCCCTTCAGATTCCCTCTCAACAGCAGCTGGTGAATAAGACCCTTTTCTCCTACTCTTCCTCCTTACAATCCTCAGACCAACGACAACAACAACAAGAAACAACAACAACACAAAAACAACAACAGCTAATATTATAATAGAAAGACGAGAGTCGAGAGGTCTCTTCATCATCATCAATAGGCTCCGCAATAAGACAATCCACTCCAGTATAACCTCTGAAACAATTACAAGTGTAACCACCAAACTCATTCTGACACGTTCCATTATTACAAATAGTCGTATTTGTCTCAGCGCATTCATCAATATCAGTTTGACAGTGATCTCCAGTAGTTCCTGGTGAGCACATGCATGAGTAGCTACCATGTATATTCATACAAGTACCAGTGTTACATATAGGGACTGTAGTATCACACTCGTTGAGATCACTTTCACATCTAATGCCTGTAAAGCCAGGATAACAGGAGCAGGTGTAGTTACCGATAGTATTAGTACAGTTACCAGTACCAGTGCAAGGGAGGGGGAGGGAGAGGCACTCGTTGATGTCCTTGTTGCATTGGGAGCCGTTGAAACCAGCTGGACACAAGCACACGAAACCACCGAATATATTTAAACAGGTAGAGCCTTGAGTACAGCCGTGATCACCTTCAGCACACTCGTTGATATCAATATCACAATAAGGACCAGTTACTCCACCAGGACAAGCACACATATACCCACCATCAGTGTTGACACAGGTGCTACCCTCATAGCATGTATTAGTACCATCACTGCATTCGTTAATGTCAATCTCACATAGTTCTCCTGTGAATACAGTCTCAATACAATTACAATTGTATTTTTCAGATTTTGGCCTATTTCTTAAAATAGCTGTAACTAAAATAATTTAAGTCGGAATCAGCTCAAACTTAATTTCTAAACAGCATTATAATGTGAATATGTATCAGAAAATGTAATAAATATTGGTGTGATTTTTAGCCATTTTTTGAAAAAAGCATGGGCTAGAATAGAGCTATTATAGTATAGGGTATTTTTTGATTTTGGCACATTTCTTAAAATGGCCGTAACTTGAAAAATTTAATTTAAGTCGGAATCAGCTCAAACTTTTTACACAGTATAAGGACATCAATATTTATCAGAAAATGTAATAAAAATTGCAAGTGATTTTTTAGCCATTTTTTGGAAAAAAGCATTTTTCTGATTTTGGCATATTTTAAAACTATGACCGTAACTTGATAATTTAAGTCTGAATCAGCTCAAACTTTTTACACAGCATAAGGATGTCAATATGTATTAGAAAATGTAAGTAAAAATTGGGACTGATTTTTAGCCATTTTCCAGATTTTCATAACTATTAATAACTAGAATAGTTAACTAATCATTTGAATTCAAAGGGTTAATTTTTATGAAGTTTCTAAATTATTTTATAAGAAAGTTTTCAGAGAAAGTAACAAGGAAATGGCCTATTCCAGGTGTGAATCACGTGATCCTCGTTGCCTCTGGTAAAGGTGGAGTTGGAAAATCTACAACAGCTGGTAAAGAAATAATATTATTTATTTTTAATTTTATTTTTAATTTTTTAGTTAATTTAGGAGTGACATTAGCAAATGTGAAGGTAAAAATCATATTAATTATTATTTTAATTAATTATTAATTAGTAGGGGCTGAGGGTCGGTCTGTTAGATGCTGATGTGTGTGGTCCCTCGTTGCCACGTCTAATGAACCTCTCAGGACAACCTGAACTGGATAAACGTTAGTATAATTATTAGTATATTCCAGTGTATTGTCAGTATATTTCATAGAAGACAACTGAGATGATACCACTGACATATTATAATGTAAAATGGTAATTTATTATTATTTAAAAATTATTTATTATTATTATTATTATTAATTTTATTAGTATGTCAATGGGTTTCTTAGTAGAAGAATCAGAGCCAATAGTCTGGAGAGGATTAATGGTAATTAATAATAATTAATAATTAATTACATGTACATGTATTTATACAGGTAATGTCAGCAATACGGAGGTTGTTAAGAGGCATGGCCTGGGGCCTATTGGATATATTAGTGATTGATATGCCACCTGGAACTGGAGAAACTCAACTATCAATATCAGAGGATATACCTATATCTGGTAATTAAACAATAATTAATAATTGGGGCGAGCAAAAGCAAGCCCCACATAGTCGAGTCAAGTATGTCTGTTTGTTTGTTTGTTTGTTTGTTAGTACACGTACGTCACCTCTATTTATGCATCTATAAAAAAATAATAATCACACATTTTTAAATGATAATTTTGATAATTACGGTACCATGTGCAAAAACAAAGAGCAACTTCAGTAATCACTGGACGAGAGGAGTTCAAGAGACAAGAGTATTCAAAAAACAAGAGAAGCTGAAGCTTAAAGCAT